CGGATGGCCCGGGGCTGGGGGCGGGGAGGAATGCGTGAGCGCGCATGGGGCGCCTTTTGTGCCAAGTTCACCCCGAGCCCTCCTTCCCACCCTCGGCCTCGAGGAACTGCCCGAGGCTGTAAACCCTGCCCCTCCAGACGGAAACCGGACACTGTTCCCACGGTGTCTCCCGAGAAGATTGCGCCCGTGCGCTTTTCTTGGGCGCGTCTGGAACGTCACTCTGGTCCCCCTGATGCCTAGGGTCCGCCGACATGAATCCGGTGGTCGTGGTCCACGGCGGCGGAGCCAGCAGCATCTCCTGCGACCGGAAAGAGCGGGTGCGCCAGGGGATCGTCAGGGCCGCCACCGTGGGTCACAACATCCTCAGGGAGGGAGGGAGCGCGGTCGATGCCGTGGAAGGAGCTGTGACCGCCCTGGAAGATGATCCCGAGTTCAACGCGGGTAAGTGTGCGTTTCAGCCAGAAGGCCAGGCCAAGTCGGGTCACGCTCCTCCCCCCGGATAAGTAGAAACTGGTCTAATAGGAGCTTTGTGGTGAAACTAAATATGCTTTTTAAAAAAATAATCATTAACTTTTTCTACCTGCTGGTCAAGTTGCTTTAAGAATTTAATTGTTGCATCCACTAATCCACCCGTTTTTATGTAACCTGCTTCCTGGAATTCACATACCAAGAGACTTTTGAGGGGAGCTGGGGGTAGACCACATACCATAAACTGTACCCATTTTAAGTTTTGAAAAATGTATACCCCTGTGTAACCACCACCACAGCCAAGATTTAAAACATTTCTATCACCCTCTTAAGATTTTGTGATATAATATGAAATATATATTTCCTCTCTGCCCTTGGTTCCTAGGCACCTTGTAATTTTCTGAGCATTAGAGGTACCAGGAGAATCTTTTGTTCTAATATTTGGTCTTTGACCCCAGTGCCTTACACAAGCTCTTAATTCCTTGGAATTTTCTTTTGTATCCTAATGAGTTGACTCTTGTTGGCTCTTGGCTAGGGGCTGGTTATCATAAAGGCTAAACCGTGATTAGAAGTTTGGAAGTTTCAGCCCCATGAGTCCGCCTGACTGTAGAATGTGACCCAGCTGCCCTTTCATGGCTTCGTATGTTGAGCTAGAATTTACCAAAGGGAAGCAGATTGCCAGCTAAGGGAACAACCAGCTGTTTATCTGTGGAGGACTTGTTAAACCATATATCTCTTAGCACTTGGGACCCCCTTGGGTGGCAAACCCCCTCTTATGAAATGTATACAGGACCTTCATTTGAAGTGAGTCGTTCTGGTCTCCCACCATCAGAATTCATCAGAACTGGGAAGGATAGAATAGGGATTAGAGCAGCTGGTTCTCATTGCTTTGCTCTGCACCTTACTTCCGAATGTCTCCCCTCTGATTTCTCAGATTTTTGCTGTTCAACCCATTTAGGGGGAAAAAAAGAGTAGGGCTGAAGAGAAAGAAATCACAGTTTTAGGGGAGAAAAGGTAGGACTTTTACCAGCATGGTTTCTTCTTTGGCTCTGTTTGGCCATGTACTGTTCCCAGCTGAGGCCAATATAAGCAAACAGTGTTCCCAGCAACCTCTGCTATAATCCTCTAGAATAACTATCTGGGAAGCTCATACAAAAAGCTGACTCCCAGTAGTTATTGAGTTCAGTGGCAATAATTAGCATTCATGACACAGCTTATCTGTTTGTAAAAACATTATATTCTATTTGTGTTTCAACATGGATTTCACTTAATATTTAAAGTTTGTTCCATAATGCTTCATTTATTAAAAAGTAGTTGATGTATTAGATGCAACACTGTAAAAATTGAACTTTTAGAGTTGAATCCTAGAAATATTTTTTGAAGACTTAACTTAGATTGATAGTTAAGTCACGGCCCTTCACTTTCACAAGAGTTGAGCAGTATTTACCCAGCACTTTACATAGCTTTTCATTCTCTACATTCAATTGTGTAAGCTGCTGAAGAGTTTGAGATATTAGGATGTTTTTCATTTTTCCACCTTCTTTCTGAACTTTTTATGATAAAGCATCTATAAAGTAAAACTCTGTGGTGGGTCTTTCCTTGTTTTGAAGATTCCCAAGCAGTTCTGAGGCACAACGAAGTTTAGAATCCACTAGCCTAATCCATACAATTTTAATGGGTTTGGGATTTTTTTTTTTTAGTGTATTTTATATACAGTAAAATCAATACAGTAAAGTAGCATACAGTTCCATAACTGTGACAGACACCACAATCAAGACACAAAACAAAGATACGAAATAGTTCCATTACTCTCCTACATCCCTTGAGTCCTCACCTCCATTTACCCCCAGCCCCTGGCAACAACTAGTATGTTTTCTGTTCCTATAGGTTTGCTTTTTCCAGAAAGTCATGAGTGGAATCACATAGCCTTTTGAGTCTGGATTCTTCAGTACACATAATGCAGAGTACTATCCATATAGATGTGGGTGTCGGTAGTTTACCCCTTTGTATTGTTGAAGAGTATTCATTCCATTGCATCCATTGCATAAATAATACCACGGTGTGTTTAGCCACAAACCAGCTAAAGGACATGTTTCATTTGGGGCCTTTATAAATAAAATCACTGTAAACATTTGTGTACAGGTTTTTGTATGAACATAAGTATTTTTGGTTTTTGTTTTGTTTTTGAGTTGGAGTCTCACTCTGTTGCCCAGGCTGGAATGCAGTGGCACGCTCAGGGCCACTGCTGCCTCGACCTGCTGGGCTCAGGCAATCCTTCCACCTCAGACTTCCAAGTAACTGGAACTACAGGCGTGCGCCACCATGCCTGGCTGATTTTTTTGATTTATTGTAGAGATGATGTCTCACCAAGTTGGCCAGGCTGGTCTCGAACCCTTGGGCTCAAGCAGTCATCTCGTCTCCGCCTCCCAAAGTGCTGAGATTATAGGCATGAGCCACCACGCCCGGCAACATAGGTTTTTATTTCCTTTGGGTGAATACCCAAGAGTAGGATCACTGGGTCATATGGCAAATCTTTATTTAGTGTTATTAGAAACGACCAAACTTTTCCAAAGTGACTACTGTTTTCTGTTTCCACCAGCAAGGAATGAAAGTTTCAGGTACTCTACATCTTCTCCAGCACTAGGTATTGTTGGTCTTTTCTAACATCAGCCATTCTCGTAGGTATATAGTGGAATCTCACAGTGTTAATTTGCATTTCCCTAAATGGGAAATGATATTCTAGATCTCTTATCAGATAGGGAATGTGGTCACCCCATCTGTGGCTTGACTTTTCTTTCTCTTAGCATGTCTTTCAAAGAACAGAAGTTCTCAATTTTGTAGAAGTCCAATTTATAATTTTTTTTAATGAGTTGTGCTTTTGGTGTTGTATCTTTTTTTTTCCCCTTGAGTCGGAGTCTTACTCTGTTGCCCAGGCTGGAGTGCAGTGACACACTCATGGCTACCACAGCTTCAACCTGCCGGGCTCAGGCAATCCTTCCACCTCAGCCTTCAAAGTAGCTGAGACTACATGTGTGCATCACTACACCCGGCTAATTTTTTGATTTAATGTAGAGACAAGATCTTGCCAAATTGCCTAGGTTGGTCTCGAGCCCCTGGACTCAGGTGATCCACTTACTTCTACCTCCCAAATTGCTGGGATTATAGGTGTAAGCTACCATACCCAGCTTTTGTATCTTAAGAAATATTTGTCTAACCCAACATTACAAACATTTTCTCTTAAGGTTTCTTCTAGAAGTTTTGAGTCTGTGAGCCATTTAAAATTTTGTATGGTTCAAGGGACCTGTCGAGGCTCGGTTGTTTGCATAACTGTTCCAGCATCAGTTGTTGAAAAGGTTTATCACAAGTAGTAGGTCACCAGGTTACTCACACTTCTGTCCAACTGACTACAAATCAAGAGCTCCCATGACCCCTTCCTCAAGTTTGATAATTTACTATGACAGTTCACAGAGCTAAGGTAAGCCCTTATGCTCTGTCTATTATAAAGGCTGTGATAAAGGCTACAGATGAACAGCCAGATGAAGAGGTGCCGGGGCAAGGTCAATATAGTTCTGACTCTGTGTATCTGGAGTTAGTCAGATCCCACGGGTTAAGGGCTCAGTCCTACAAGAGTACCCCCACTTCAGATGCCAGTCACAAGCAGTAGGTTGTCACTTACACTTCAGATGAACCAGCTATAAATCAGGGTTCCCATGACCCCCTTCTCAAGTTCAGTTAATTTACTGGAACAGCTCACAATACTCAGAGAAATCCATTTGCCAGTTTATTATATTAATAATGGATCTGATAAAAGAAACCAATACACAGCCAGATAAAGAGATGCACAGGGCAAGGAACACAAGCTTCCATGCCCTCTCTGGCATGCCACCCTCCTAGCACCTCCACATATTCAGCAACCAAAAAGCTGGTGGGTCCTCATGAGCTTTTATGGAGGCTTCTGTGAGACAAAGTAACACATGTAAGAAGCCATGTTTGCTCATTTCTGCTTGCTAGCATAATTTCACAAGTCCCTGAATCTGACAACATCACCTCTCCAGAGGGGTATTTTAAAGGCAAAACAGGATAGAGCACATGCTCCCCCAACTCCTGCATCTCTTGCCTGAATCAGTATATTCCTCCAAAAATAAAAGACCCTAGTCCTTGCCTTTTCCTACACATAAGGTAATGTCTGACAGGGTTAATGAGTATGCCTCTGTAATCTATAACCAGATGTACTCTTACACCCAAGCTTAGATGTGATTCTGCTTTCATGTAAGTTTCCTGTAAGTTTCCAAGCAAGTTTGATGTAACTTCTGAGCATGCAGGAAACTTTCACAGCTTATAAGTTATAAGCTGAAGCACTGTTTCAGAGAAGACTTACAGAACCTCTCTGAAAAACTCTTCCCTGGAAACTAACTTTAATTTTTTAAAAGCTTGCTTTTTTTCTTTAGTCATGATACATAGGCGTGATTGATTAAATCATTGGCTGTTGGTTGCCAGCTCAACCATCAGCCTCTCTCCTGCTCCTTGGAGTTGGAGGTGGAATGGGGCTAAAAGTGCCAACCCTCTAATCACAGGCTTGGTTCCCTGGCAACCAGACCCCATCCTGAGTCTCTCCAGCAGCCCCTAATATCAGTCATCTCATTAGCATACAAAACGCATGTATTACTTTGGAGAACCCAGGTGAAAAGATTGAGGGGAAAAAAATTCCATAAAATTCCAAAAAGCAGAAGTTGAATTGGCCTTGCACAGAGTACTCCATTGAATCCGCGTGAGTGAAGTGGTGTGGAGGCATTGTATTAGGTATTATAAATAATCCAGAGATGAATTAAAGTATATGGGAGGATATGTGTAGGTTATATGCAAATACTGTTCCATTTTACGTAAGGGACTTGAGCATCCATGGTTTTTGGTATCTGCAGGGGTCCTGGAACCAATCTTTCATGTATACTAAGAGACAACTGTATGTATTTCTTAGTATAAGTCACAATACCACACCCTCCCTAACTACTAACAACTCTCAATTACTAATCAGTTTTTGTCTCTATAATTTTATCTTTTTAAGAATGCTTTATAAATGAACTCATACAACATAACCTTTTGGAAATGGCTTTTTTTCATTCAGCATTATGCCCTTGAGATTGTTGATGAAAGATGCCAAACTCTATAAAATATTTAAGAAGGTTTATTCTGAGCCAAATGTGAGTGACCTAGGCCCTTGACACCATCCCAAGAGGTGCTGAGAACATGAGCGCAAGGTGACTGAATCGTAGCTTCATTGTATTTATATAATGCGGGTCATAGGTGTATTCAAAGATTTGCTTTAAGGAATTTTGAAATCAGTAAGGGAAGCACCATGTTGCGATAAGGAACAGTTTGTGGAAGTTGTTTCTTTTCTTTCCTTTTTTGAGTTGGATCTCACTCTTGTCACTTAGGCTGGAGTACAGTGACACAATCACGCTCACTGCAGCCTCAGCCTCCTGGGCTCAGGTGATCCTTCCACCAACTACAGATGAGCTCTACCACACCCAGCTAATTTTTTGATATTTTTTATAGATGAGGTCTTGAGGCAGGATAGCTAGTGTAGGTTAGGCATAGATAGGTAAATACGTCTTGTAGGCGACTTTGAGTTTAAAATAAGAAAGTGTCCAGACATCTAGTCAGAAGGATGGAATATGGATTCAATGTGGACTCCCAGGCTTACCCCACCCTCTCATCCATCAGAGGCAGAAAGATGGTAATCTCTTCCAAGCAGATACCCCCACCTGCTCATTAACATATTAATCACTAAATGGGTATATCAGGCCTCTTGTAAGAAGCAAAAAGCATGGTTTTTCTCTCACCCATGCCACTTATTTCTGGCAGGTACCTCTGTCTTTCCCCTTCTCTTTCTCTAATAAATTCTGTTTTAAAACTATGCTCGCTGCTCTGAAATTCATTTCAGTAGTGTGTCAAAAGACCCAGCAGTTTTGTGCTACATCCCACCCAATATCAGTCTTACTATGTTGTCCAGGCTGGTCTCGAACTCCTGGGCTCAAGCAGTCCTCCTGTATCAAACTCTCAAAGTGTTTGGATTACAGACTTGAGCCACAGTACCTGGCCTGGTTGTAGGATTTTATAGTTACCCTTTATCAGTCTGAAGAAGTTCCCTTATTAGTTTTTTTTTTTTAATCATGTAAGCATGTTGAATTTTGCCAAATAAGTTCTTCATGTATACCAAAAATAATGTATTTTTTCTTCTGTCTGTGACAGGGTAAATATTGATTTTTTTAAATGTTGAACCCAGCTTTTATCCCTAGAATTAACATATATTAATTAACATGATGTATTTTCTTTTTTTATAACTTGCTACTCTTAATTTGCTGGTATTTTCTGGAGGTTTTTGAATCCTTTTTTGTGGGGGGGGATACTGGTTTGCAGTTAGGTTAAAAATCCCAGTGGGGCCTCCAAAAAATGTTAGGTCAGACCCACCAAGGATGTCTGGTTTACCATCCAGTGCTGCACAAAAGATGCAAAGAAGTGGACAAAAGTTAGATTGGAAAATATGGCTTATTTAGAAAGTAAATGAGAGAGATTGATTCTCCTCCCCAAGATAGGGGAGGAGGCCAAAGCTAAGAAAACATGGTGGCCATGGCTCAGAGAACACATGGCATGACCATTGCCTAACAGAACAGTGGTAACTGCTATTTGAAGTTGAATCCCTTTTAAACCTTCCCTTTGATGAGGCAGGTGTTAAGGTAAGTGGGTGGTGGTCTGCTCCACATCATCAGAGGGGCAGGTACTGACATCAGGTGATGGGCAGCAGGCAGATGGGTGGGTTAGTCACATGACTGTTGGCCATGGTGATGGGGTCTGTGTCTCGGAGATCACAAGGGCTGGTCAAGTTAACTTGGGTCTTATGGGTGGAGGCAAATATTTGAAATAGAGAAGCGAATTAATACAAAACAAGCTGGGGAGGGGATTGTAAAGCAGTTATCAATAGCTACCTCTGAGTTCTGTCCCTGGCTAGTGACTAGAGGGTAAATTAAAATGAACTGCTAGAAAAACATGATAGATCTAGGCAATGTTAAAATGACTGCTCATTGGGTATGTTGACTCCATTTGTGTCCTTTCAGTGACTTTATAATATTGGTCAGGTTTTGGCATAAGGGTAATGCTGGTTTCTTGTGATGAATTGGAAAGTATTCCCACCTTTTCTATTTTTCTTGAACAATTTGTATGTAATTGGTATTATTTATTTCCTTGTAAATGTGTGATAGAATAGCTAGTGAGACCATCTGAACCTGGAGTTTTACTTGTTTTTTGTTTTACTTTGTTGGAAGGATTTTTACTGAGAAATAATTTTTTTTTGAGTCAGGGTCTCTTTTGCCCAGGCTGCAGTGTGCAGTGTAGTGGTACAATCATGGCCCCCCACATCCTCAACCTCCTGGGCTCAGATGATCCTTCCCTCTCAGCCTCCCAACTTGTACTACTCTCAATTGGTACTACAGGTGGTACCACACCATCACACCCAGCTAATTTTTTTTTAATTTTTTTGTAGAGACGAGGTCTCGCTATGTTGCCTAGGCTGATCTTGAACTCCTGGCCTCAAGCAATCCTCTTGCCTCGGCCTCCCAAAGTGCTAGGATTACAGCTTGAGCCACCATGCCCAATTTTTCTAATAGGTATGAGACTATTTGTTTTACCTATTTTTTTCTTTGAATGAGCTTTGTCAATTGTGTCTCTCAAAGGATGTTTCTATTTCAAATAAGTTGTTAAATTTATGGGCATAGAGTTACTTGGAATATTTCTTTATTTTTCCTTTAATGTCTATAGATCCATAGAGATATACTCTCTTTCAATCCTGATATTTATTAATTGCATCTTTTTTCTTGGTCAGCCTGGCTAGAATTTATCAAGTTTATTGTTTTTTCCAAAGAAGCAGTTTTTGTTTAGTTGTCCATTTGAACTGTAGGAACAAATTCCTAGTGTACTACAAGGGGCCCATCCTCCAAAAGATAATTCCAGGTTTTTGGGGGTTCCCCTGTATTTTGCTAACTATGACACATACACTTGGAAAGAATGTACATTATTGCTGGACACAGTGGCTCACGCCTGTAATCCCAACACTTCAGGAGGCTTGAGGTGAGAGGATTGCCCGAGCCCAGGAGTTCAAGACCAGCCTGGGCAACATGGCACAGGGTGAGCTGTGGATTTTGTTTTGTTTTGGTTTGCTCTTTCTATTCTTTTTCATCTATTTATCTTTATTATTTCATTTCTTCATTTTGCTTTGGGAATAATTTGCTGTTCTTTTTTTCTATTAAATAATTAATTTGAATTTTTTTCTAATATGAGCATTTAATGCTTTAAATTTTGCTCAAGGCACCACTTTGATTATATCCTACAAATTTTTACATGTTGTCTTTTTCATTATATTCAAAAGGCATTTTAATTTCCCTTGTGATTTCCTCATTGAACCATGGGTTATTAGAAGCATGCTATTTAATTTTCAAATATTTGTGTCTTTTTTAAGTATCTTTCTGTTACAGATTTTAATTTTAATCCCATAATTGTCAAAGGACATATTTCATTTGATTTGCATTCTTTTAAACTTTGATCAGTTTGTTTTTGGCCCCACATATGGTCTCCGTGGGGGGACCTGGAAAAAAATGAATTTATTTATAAAAAATTATCTATTTATTCTCACATGTTTATACTTCAGTCACCTTCAAAGTACTCTCCATTTGATGAAATGTTAAAATGGCTGCTCATCGAGATGCTTTTTCCACTGTTCAAGACAGTTTTTGAACTTATCAATTTTGATGCCTTTTAGTGATTCTGCTGTTTTTTGGTTCACCTCTTCCACATTGGAAAAAACGTTTCCCTTTGAGGACTTTATTCATATAGGGAAACAAAAAGTCACTTGGGGCAAGAACAGGGGGTCAGGCCATTTTGGGTCAGAAACAACACTCAGCACAATGTGTGGGCAGGTGCATGGCCATGGTGGAAGAACCAGTCGCCTGTTTGCCACAGCTTGGGATGTTTCATCCACAAATGATGACACACAGTTCTCAAAACTCCCAGATAAAAATTTTGGTTGACCATTTGAGCTGGAGGAACAAATTCCTAGTATACAGTTCCTACAAGGGGCCCACCCTCCAAAAGATAATTCCAGGTTTTGGGGGGTTCCCCTGTATTTTGCCAACTATGACACATACACTTGGAAAGAATGTGCATTATTGCTGGACACAGTGGCTCACGTCTGTAATCCCACTCCTTCAGGGACTGAGGTGAGAGGATTGCCTGAGCTCAGGAGTTCAAGACCAGCCTGGGCAACAGGGCAAGATCTCATCTCTACAATAAATCCAAAAAAATTACAAATGGCACACACCTGTAGTCACAGCTACATGGAAGGCTGAGGCAGCAGAATTTCCTGAGCCCAGCAGGTCAAGGCTGCGATAGCCTTGATCATGTCGCTGCACTCCATTCCAGCCTGGGCAACAGAGTGAGACTCTGACTCAAAAAAAAAAAAAAAAAAGAATATGCATTTGCTGTTGTTGAGAGTTCTGTAATATCGGTTTGGTTAATAATATTGTTCAGATCTTCTGTGTCCTGATTATCTACTATTTCTATTGATTTCTGAGAGAGGAGTATTGAAGTTTTTAGTAATTGCAGATTTGTCTGTTTCTCCTTTCAGTGCTATCAATTTTTCATGTATTTTGAAATTCTGTTGTTAGACACATAGATTGTTGTTGTCTTGGTGAATTGACTCCTTTATCATTGTTCAATGTTGTTATTGTTTAATGTTTCTTGTTCTGGTTTCAGGTTGTGGCTCTGTCTTGAACATGAATGGTGAAGTTGAAATGGACGCCAGTATCATGAATGGAAAAGACCTGTCTGCAGGAGCAGTGTCCGCAGTCCGATGTATAGCAAACCCCATTAAACTTGCTCGGCTTGTCATGGAGAAGGTATTTGTGACTGAAACATCCTTTCTTAAGGAATCATTACTGCTGTAGTTCCAGCTGTGAAGAAATACTTGAGATCACTGTTCTCCCAAAAATACATGCAAGAACAGAAGCGATGTTGTTTGAGTTTCTCAAATCAGCCAAGGTTCTGACTCTATAGATGGTATAACCCAACTAGTAATCACTTAACCAGTGATTATTTTATCTTTCTGTATTTTCTTCAGTATTCTTTCAACATGTATAGTAGTACATACAAACTGAATAAACCAACTATTTAATAGCGTGTATTAAATAAAAATGGATTAAGTTCTCTAAATTTAACATAGTAAGTAGTTGCAACCCTGGTAGCATCCCATCATTTGGGGTTTTTTTTTAATGCAGAGAGCTAGGCTCTTTTCAGCATTCAGAAAAGGAAGCCAATGAAATTTGCATTTTTTAGCCCTTGCACTAAGAGAAGTAATTATTTCCATATAGAAGGAACAGCTAAAAAGACTTAAAATTTTCTGAAAACATGCCATTTTCTTTTCCTTTTTTGGCTCAGACACCACATTGCTTTCTGACTGACCAAGGTGCAGCCAAATTTGCAGCAGCCATGGGAATTCCAGAGGTTCCTGGAGAACGACTGGTAACAGAGAAAAACAAAAAGCGCCTGGAAAAAGAGAAACTTGAGAAAGGTGCTCAGAAATCAGACTGTCAAAAGTAAGTCTCATCTGCGGTCACATGTGTGGGAGTTATTAAAATATGAAAGCTTGGCAGCTATCTGATCTTCTACATTTCTTAAATAATTGAAACTAAATAATGAAAAAAACATTCTTTTGATTCTTAAATTTAACCTCATTTATTACTTCTCTGAACAGCAACTCAAATTAGACATGAGTTCCTTTTCTGACATGATTTAAGAGACTGTCTTATATTGTTTTTCACTCATCTGGATTCTTCTTGATCATGTTGTTATCTTAAATAGACTATAAACAGGTTCTCTGTGATCTAGTATACGTTATGAACTTGCATAAGCACTCTTTCGTACCATAGAAAAAAAAAGTGCAAGTCTTGAAAATGTGAATTAATTCGTGTATTCTGAATTATGGTTTTCTGTGTTACAGATTTCAAAATCCCAAATAAAAGCTCCCCCTCCTTTTTTTTTTTCTTTTTTTGAGTCAGAGTCTCACTCTGTTGCCCAGGCTGGAGTGCAATGGCATGCTCACGGCCACCACAGCCTCTAACTTCTGGGCTCAGGTGATCCTTCCACTTCAGCCTTCCAAGTGACTCTAGCCCACAGACACAGCAGCATACTCGTTAAGGCTGTCAATGGCTGCCAACATATGGCCATTCTTTTTTTTTTTTTTTTTTTAGCTGGAGTCTCACTCTGTCGCCCAGGCTGGAGTGCCTTGGCACACTCAACAGCCACCCCAGCATCGACCTGCTGGGCCCGGCGATCCTTCTGCCTCAGCCTTCCAAGTAGCCAGAACTACAAGCGCACGCTACCATGCCCGGTTAATTTTTTATTTATTGTAGAGATGAGGTCTCACCAAGTTGCCTAGGCTGGTCTTGAACCCGCAGGTTCAGGCAATCCACTCACCTCGGCCTCAAAGTGCTGGGATTACAGGCTAAGTCATTGAGCCCATCCTGAAGCAGATTCTTAACCTTGGGGACACACTAGAATTACCTGGGAAACACTTCCATAATATACCTCCATCTCAGATTTATTTAAATCTGATTCTTCAGGGAAAACGCCCAGACGTGTGTATTTTGAAAAAGCTCCCTAGTGATTCTAAGGTATACCTCTGATTAAATATTACTTACTCTAATATTTATGCAGAGTTAATAGATTGAATCCTATTATAAACTCCCAGACCATATTCAAATTTTATTTTCAAATTTTGCTTTAAATAAGGGGCTTTTAGCCAGGTGCAGTGGCTCACACCTGTAATCCCAGAATTTTGGGAGACGTAAGTGAGGTGATTGCCTGAGTCCAGGGTTTCAAGACCAGTCTGGACAACTTGGTGTCCATCTCTACAATAAATCAAAAAATTATCCAGGTGTGGTGGCGCATGCCTGTAGTTCCAGCTACTTGAAAGGCTGAGGTGAAAGGATCGCCTGAGCCCACCAGGTCAAGGCTGTGGTGGCCATGAGCATGCCACCGCACTCCAATCTGGGCAACAGAGTGAGACTCCAACACACACACAAAAAAGCTCAATGCCAACTAGTCACATTTAGCTAGTGGCCTCTCAGTAGCCACATGTAGCTAGCAACTGCTCTAGTGGGCAGCACAGGTCTAGGCAGAACCTGTGTAAGGAACCAGCTCTTCATGTTAACAGCCACATGGACATTGATTATTAGAATTATGAATGGTTTCATTTTGATTTTTAAAAAATTTAAAAGATTTAATTTCAGAAATGTAATATTAAAATTTTTAGCTTTTATGTAATTTTGACTTGAGGTATATTCACTAATTATAATTCATGTTTTAACTTTAATAAAATATTTTGTATATTTTACAAAAATAACTTTTTGTAAATTTTTTTAGATTCTCTTCATTTTTTGATGAAAATACATTTTGTATTTTTGGGTATAATTGCATTTTACATTTAATCATTTAGATTATTGAAAATGAGTATATGTCAAAATTTTCACTGAGCGTGGTGGCTCACACCTGTAATCCCAGCACTTTGAGAGGCAGAGGCGAAAGGATTACCTGAGCCCAGGGGTTCGAAACCAGCCTGGGCAACTTGGCGAGACCTCATCTCTACAATAAATCAAAAAATTAGCCAGGTGTGATGGCATATACCTGTAGTTCCAGCTACTTGGATTGGCTAAGTCCAGCAGATCAAGGCTGTGGTGGCTGTGAGCAGGTCACTGCACTCCAACCTGGACAACAGAGTGAGAATCCAACTCAAAAAAAGGAAAAAAAAATTTTTTGTCATAGAAAAAGAGTACTAAAGTAGAGCTCACAAAAGAAAAAAATCTGAAAGGAAAAAAGAAGTAAAAATCTTCAAAGAAGCAATCTGCTTGCATTTTTAAAAACTGGAAACAATGAAAGTAAGCAGTCTTCTTCCAGGATGACCCACAAAAAATTCACAAACAGGACACTACAATTTAATTGTTAAAAGCAGATTTAGTTATTTATCAAGATAATGAAAATGAATAAGAAAATCATTCTCACCAACTCCACAGTTTGAACAGGTCAGATGAAATCCCTGCAACTTCATATTCTTTACTAAAGGAAAATATAATTGCTTTTAAAAAAATCGCACAGAAAAAAGTACACATAACAGTTACAGGAATTGGGGGAAGAGGCTGAATAAACAGACAATTAATGTTACTGGAAACAGAAAACAATATAAAACATTGATGTAATGTTCTTGAAAGAATAATGTATCCAGTATTTAGCCAGGCCTAATGATTCTTTTCATGACACCATCAGTCCAGTGTTTACAAAAACAATGGAAATTTCCTGGGTTTAGTAAAAATAATTTTTCAAAATTTGGTGAAATGCCAAACGTGTAATTAGGACAAAAATAATGGCACTAATGATACTAGGTTGGAGAATTCAAACAGATTATTAGTTTAATGGGGAGTAAAGTGAGAGATTAAGCCATATAAAATTTTTTAGATAAAATAATTACTTAATTACTCAGTTCAACTAGACTATGCCACGGTCAGAAGACATGTTGAATAACTAACATTTATTATAAGTATTGTTGCACTACTTGAAGAAGAAAAGTCCAAGTTCATGTTTCATTGCATTTACGTCTGCCTCTTAAAGTACAATTTTTGAATTAAGTGAAGAATTGAAAATGTTCAATTTCAGGCATTAATATAAAGAATTGTGATGATAGAGCTAACATGGCTGGTAAATGAAAGTTTACCAAGAAGTTTAGCCAAGAATCCAGAAGTATTCTACATAACATACACAACTCATCATTTGAATTTGTTTCTAGGAAAGGTGAAGTCATCTGTGCCAGTAGTGATGTTGCTTCAGAACAATAGAGGTTAGATTAAATGTAGTATTTTCTAGATATGTCCAAAGGTGTAACACCTTGATTAAACTCCTATTTCACCTTATAACAAATCTCCAATGCATGATAGGAATACCAATTAAATGCTGTTGAAATTTTGAACTTAGATAAGAAAAGTTTGGCCAGACACAATGGCTCACACCTATAATCCCAGCACTTTGGGAAGCTGAGGTGAGAGGATTGCCTGAGCCCACAGGTTCGAGACCAGCCTGGGCAACTTGGTGAGACCTCATCTCTACAATAAATCAAAAAATTAGCCGGGCATGGTAGCGCACACCTGTAGTTCCAGCTACTTGGAAGGCTGAGGCGAAAGGATCGCCTGAGCCCAGCTGGTCGAGGCTGTGGTGGCCGTGAGCGTACGTACCACTGCACTCAAGCCTGGGCGACAGAGTTAGACTCCAACCCAAAAAAGAAAAAGAAAAGTTAAGCAGGATTACAGAAGATGCTCCAAGGGCAAATCATGAACTTTAACAGAAAGAGAAATTACTTTTTTTTCTTTGAGTTGGAGTCTCACTCTGTCGCCCAGACTGGAGTGTAGTGGCTGCTGCCGGCCACTGCAGCCTCGACCTGCTGAGCTCCAGTGATCCATCCGCCTCAGCCTTCCAAGTAGCCAGAACTACAGGCGCGCGCTGCCACATCCGGCTAATGTTTTGATTTATTGTAGAGATGAGATCTCGCCAAGTTGCCCAGGCAGGTCTCGAACCCACGGGCTCAGGCAGTCCACTCACCTCGGCCTCCCAAGGCGTGGGATTACAGGCTGAGCCACCGGGCCCGGCCTGAGAAATTACTTTTTAACTTGTGTCTATCTTGAAGATTCATATACAGATCTCCAAACCAGTTGCTGCAAAAACTGGTTTTTGGTTTATTATAAATCAGAGTATAGTACCATCTAAAGAGAGATTTGAACAAAATTAAATAACATCCTGCTATTTTAAATTTTCTTTAGAGTATACTGGCACTGAAATTTACAAGAACTTATCTACATAGAACTAGATACTGCTTAGGAGATTATGAAAATTACTATAATAAGTGATTGTGATTTATATGATCAAGTTAAAATATTTATTATCCTTTGCGATAACAATTTATAATATATAAATCCATATAGTAGTTGGATGTGATCATGTAAAAATCAAGATTCATTTCTAAATGTAAGTATTACTTTAAGAATTTTATTGCTGGCTGAGTACAGTGGCTCACGCCTGTAATTCCAGCACTATGAGAGGCCGAGGCAAGAGGATTGCTTGAACCCAGGAGTTCAAGGCCAGTCTGAGCAATATAGCAAGACCTGGTCTGTACAAAAAAATTTACAAATTAGCCGTGGTACTGTAGTTCCAGCTACTCAGGAGGCTGAGGCGGGAGGATCACCTGAACCCAGGAGGACGAGGCTGTGGTGAGCCATGAAGGTCCCACTGCACTCAAGCCTGGGTGACAAAGTAAGACCCTGACTCGATAAAAAAATAATAATAATAATTTTGTTGGAGATTTCAGTTGCTACTGCCACAGCAGAGTGAAGCTTCTCCAAATTAAAATTAATTAAAAACTTGCTAAGACTTACATTGACTCAAGAAAGGTGGTATCTTGGGGCATTTTGTTAATAGAATTTATGTTGTGTGAAGATGTTGATGTAAAAACATGATCAGTGCTTCCTGAAATGAAGACAAGCAATAATGGAATAAA